AAAATGATAATTTTTAATCTCTTAACTTTTAATATATACATATTTTTTGTCCATCCATTTTAAATTAAAGGATTAAAAATGTGTGTATTTAAAAAAACTTAATAGAGTAATTAATAGAATGACTAAAAAAAATATGAAGAATGGATTGAAAAAGTATAAAAAAAAAACTAAAGGATGAAAATTATATAAAATATCAAAATTGAGGACTAAAAATGAAATTTGCCCTTTTGAAATTTGAATTGATTTGAATTGTAGCGGCAACTGAAAAAATGGAAGATAAGACAGCTGGACACGAGAACAGAGGAGGATTTGCGTGATCAAAATTGTAGGGCTGGTCAAAGCGACGTTGTTTTGATTAGGAAATCTTTTTTTTTTTTAATTCTTGCATATTGTACCGGTTAAATTTTGGTGTACCGGTCGGTATGCCGAAATTTCGACTGGTACATCGAAATTTGACCGAAATCACCAGATTTTGACCGAAACGAAATTCATTCTTATTTGGTTTCAGTCTACTCCAAAAACCAATATATATCGGCCGTATCGGCTGGTACAAAACGATATCTACTTCTTTGCTTCACACTTTAGCACTTACTATTATATTCTTTTTCTCCCTCTTTTTTTTTTTTTATGTCGAGTTTCCTTAGGCTTTTTTTAAGTTACCCATGTACGAGTTTTTTGCCAATAACTCCCAAACCAGTTGGCTTTAGGGCATTAGGTGAAGAGACACCCCTAAAAACATACTTACTCAAGTAACAAAGGCCATGAAACATTCGACTTCTCTTTTTTCTTTTTTTCTTTTTCTTTTTTTTTTTTTCAGCCATACAACTCATTCTCTCCAAAGCTATCACTTGTCTTTCTACGTGAATACTGACATTTGTGATGAAAGCACTCAGTTACTCAATGAGTCATAAAATCAAAGTGCTTTGCATACTCATATTTCAAGTCGTTGTTTGACGTGAAAGTTGACATGAGTCTCATGCCTAACCCCCAGTTACTAAGCAACTAAAAACATTGAAGTAGAAATTAACAAATTCTTTTGTATTGGGTTCTTTCTCTTTTTCCTTTTTTCTTTTTTTTTTTTTATGTGCTTTTTAGGTGATGCTAAGTCTTTTCTCTAAACTTCTCACTACAAACTTACGCTCAAGTGAAACATAATACTCATGAACTTAAACTTCATCATAATGGTGCTATTTTTCAAATTTTGTATCTCCTTTACGATTTAAATATTTTAGAAGTTTTTAAATTTTGAACTCAAGAATATTCAATTCCTTGACACTAAGTGGACCAAATCCTAAAAAAAACAATACCCTAATTTCTAAAAAAAATGTGTCATGAAAATATGAATGCAAACTAATGTAAGAATGGACACCTAAAAGTTATTATCTCCTCCAAACTTAAATCAAACATTGTCCTCAATGTAAAATAAAAGTAAGAGAAAAGAAAAACTTCCCAGGTTTTGCACTTGAAAACTTAAAATTTAAGTTCTAAACTTGAGTTGTCTTCAATTAGAGGAGACTTCTAGCATGTGAATTTCCATAATCTTGTCCCTCAAACTTGTTCAATGACCTGGCCAAAATCAAAGAACAACTGTTTATGCATTAACTTGGGCCATAAAGAGAAAAAAATAATAATAAAAAAATCCAAACTATTAAAATAACAAACAAAGAAATAAAAGAAAAGAAAATTTTATGCTTGGGTTGCCTCTCAAGAAACACTTAATTTATAGTCATTAGTTGGACTTTCTACTACTCCAAAGTGGTTTTGGATCAAATCGTAGGGCATGTCCTCTCGTTTTCTTGCATCTTGGCTTTCTTGCCCTTAAGTTGAATCCAGCATAATATTTTCTCCAATGACTATTCTAAGATGATTTGGGTTTAGGCCAAGAGATGTGCCTTTCTAATTCTTCTAGGATTGCCCCCTTTGATTCCAAGGAAGATGAGAATGTTTTCAAGCAATTTATGTATTCTTGCAAAATCTCAAATGGATCCTCATAATTTTTTTCTTGCAAAATCTCATCAATTGTATCAATAACAAAATAATCATTAAAATTAGATTTGTTTAAAGGAGACTTCCCATTGAACACTTCAAATGACACTTGAGCTTTTTCTTCTTCCTCTTTAGGGACATCCTCTTGTTTAGTTTTTGCAAGTATGCTTTCCACTTCTTCAAGTTGTCCTTCAATCTCCAAGGGTAAAGTGTTTACCTTTTCTTCTTGATTTGACATTGTTACACTAGGTAACTCACCTTGTATTTCTTTAGCAACTAAATTGAGCAAATGACTTGATTGAACTTCCAAATTTTTGTCCAAACATGTCTCTTCTTCTTGAGCTTGAAACCTTGATTATGGCTCCAATATATCTTCATTATCTCATGAGGAGTTTGGATAATTTATCGAATCAAAGTTGCATGTATTGGGATAAAAATTACACTATTGGCTACAAAAATCACAAGAAAAATCAGCTTGTTTATTAGCTGGTCTAAAATAGCAATCAAAACTAAAATGGTCTAATTCACGCCATCGACAATTAATATTAAATTGTTTTATTATAGCTTTCTTTAATTTCTGCTTTTCAATGACTCCTTGAAATCGTTCAAGTTCATCATCTTCAATTTTTGCTTCCTAATTGATAGTGATTGCTTCAACTTGTGCTCTTAACTTTGGAGCAAGATAATATAATAATGAATAGAGTGTTGAACCCACGAGAATTGTGATTAACTAAGTATAAAAAAATTAATCTAAATTTATTTGAACAATTGAAAAGGAAAAAATTTTAATTAAAAATATAATAAAAAGAAAATAATAATTAAAATAAAGCTAATTAATATATGAGGTACTAAGGCATTGATTTCATCATAATCAATATAAATTCTAAATTAATATACTTTCAAAATCAATTTGTTGAGTGTTATTACATGTAATGGCGGATTTCTCTAAATTAATTATCTAGCCTTGTCAAGTCAAGTTAATCCCTCACTTGTTTATTAAATTAATCATATATCTCTGTAATTTTAAATAAACTAATGAGCATTGAATTCTATGAAACCTCTAACTTAAAAAGGGAGAGCTCCTAACTCTTTTCTCTTCCTCCACTACCACATGTGACACTAATTACCTTTCAGTCTCATAGTCTAACACACGGTTTATATTATTATTATTAATCTAATTTATGCAATTCTTTCTCAAGTTTATGCATAAATCACTAAATCAATTGAAAGATGATTAGCCTTTTAATGCATTAAATTTAATAACATAAACTCATCATGCGAATAACTTTAATTGAAAATACAAAAATCATGAAATCCATGTTAAATTGATTAGGCTACATCTTAGCCATAATAAAATAAATTAGTTCATAATAAAAATAATAAAATCTGAAATCATAGTTATGAATATAAAAATATCAAGGAAAAATAAAACCCAATTTAAGGAAATTGAATTCCTTAATCTTCTATTATTGAAGGATCATTCATTTTGATCTCTAAAAATGCTCAAAAAAGTGCTGCCACTAGCCTCTAAGCTCTCCTCCAAAGCTCACGTAATTATGAATTTAGATGAGTATAGAATTTTAGAAACCTTAATTGAAATAGAAGTGAAACTCACACCCAAAATAATAAATAAAACACGGATTTTGTGAAAATCATAAGGGGTTAACACCTTCAACAAGGTGTCGTTTTGTCCTTCTGAGCAATTTCTATTAATGGTAAAATAACAATCTTGGTCCTTGACTTCTAGATTTACACAACTTAATCCTCAACTTTTTGATCTTGATAATTTGCTCTTAAAAATTATGATTTCTTCCAATTAAGTCCTTTCCTACACAAAAAATAAAAATGATGTAAAATCTCATAAAACGCATCCAAATGTCAACAATATCAGGGCAAAAATTTCACATTAATATTTATATAAATTCAACTCATCATGTACAAGCCCTACATATAAGGCCAATGGGTGATAGGGGTTACAAAGATTAAACACCCACTAAATGAAAAGTTACAAGGATTAATCATCTACTAATAGAGGGCTAACAAGTTGCGCCATTATTACCATTCTAATGGCATTAGAAAGTGGTGTGTTAATCACTGCTAAATAAGAGTTAATTACCATTAGATGCATGGGAAAGTGGAGGGAGTTAGTTACCATTATATTGGGCATGTAAATGCATATGTAAGTAGGGAGGTGAAAGGGGAGGAAGGTGAAACATATACAATGAATTGATTCATAACATAACTTTTATAATTCTTAAGGTGTTGAATAATTTTCCATGAAGGTTATGAGTTATTTATCGATACTTTTAATTTCCACATGCTTTACCCTTCATGCATCTTTTTCCTTCTTAATGGCACTTCCCTTTTCACTTCTAGACAATTGGACATGGTTTGTTCAAATAATCCAATTGGATTTTTACCACAAATACAAACACTGAGACACAAATTTTGAGACCACCATAGTGGCATATTGGATTGAAACAATCTACATCTTTTATGCAATAAATAGCAAGATTTCTTACTTATGTTAAATTGTATAAAACTATAAAACTCATAAATATAATAATATTAGAAAAAATTTAATAATAATTTTCATTGGAACCAAGATTGATTGTTAAAAGAATAAATGCCATATTAAAAGAAAGGAAGTCACTTACCAAGTGTAAGCATTAAGAATGCAACCCAAAAAACTAATTTGAATGATAACTTCACCATTTTTCTCTTTTGTTGTTGGTATTGTTGTATTTTATGTCTTGTCCTTGAAACAAAAATAAGTTTAAGGACCATTTTGGACTTTAGAAAGTTCATGGATCAAATTGGGTAAAATGTAAACATTTAAGGACTAATGTGATCATTTAACCTAAAATTATTTTTGGTCAGTTGTACAAGTGAAGGACACGGGATAACTGTTGTTAGCCCAGCTGCCCTCCAAAATCACGTGGGCATGAGGTGGATTGGGTTTCATTACAAAACCCCACCGCCACCGCTACTCAATACTGTACCCTCTTCCTCTCATCCCAACGTTACCTTCTTCCCCTCCCTCGCTGTTCAGACTTCTCACCAAAAATGACCACCATCAACGATATCCACGACGCCCTACTTTCCAACGTCTTTGCTTCCATCACCGACGTCCGCACCCGCAACTCCCTTGCCCTCGTCTGCCGAAGATTCATGGTTCTCGAAAGGTCCACGCGCGTCTCCATCACGCTCCGTGGAAACGTGCGGGACCTCTATATGATCCCCACCTGCTTCCGATCCGTCACCCACTTGGACCTCTCCCTGCTCTCTCCTTGGGGTCACTCCCTTTTATCCTCATCTCCGGCTCAGCGCTTCGATCCACACCTTCTCGCCCAACGCCTCCGAGTCGCCTTTCCGTCGGTCACTTCCTTGACCGTCTACGCCAGATCACCGTCCACGATCCAGATTTTGCTCTCCCAGTGGCCGGGACTGAACCGCATCAAGCTGGTGCGGTGGCACCGGCGGCTCTCCCAGTGGTATATCGGTGCGGACTTCGATCCGTTGTTTGAGCAATGTCAGAATCTTGCTTGGCTTGATTTATCAAGTTTCTATTACTGGACGGAAGATCTCCCCCCTGTTCTGCAAAAGAACCCGAAGGTCTCGGGGTCGCTTGTTCACCTGAATCTACTGACAACATCTTTTGCTGAAGGGTTCAACTCTCAGGAGATTGGGGAAATCACGGCGGCTTGTCCTGGATTGAAGAGATTCATGGTGGCGTGCAACTTTGACCCCAGGTACATTGGGTCCGTGGGAGATGAGACTTTGTTAGCAATTTCCAGTAATTGTTCCAAATTGACGCTTTTGCACTTGGTGGATACTTCGGCGCTGGCTGATTCCAGAGGAAATCCAGAGAGTGAAGGGTTCACCTCTGAGGATGCTAGGATAACTAGAGTTGGATTGATGGACTTCTTCTCTGCAACGCCTGTCTTGGAAGAATTAGTGCTTGATGTTTGCAGGAATGTGAGGGATAGTGGATTGGCTTTGGAGGTGTTGATTTCGAAATGCAAAAAACTGAAGGCGCTCAAATTAGGTCAGTTTCATGGGATTTGTATGGCGATTGAATGGCAACTAGATGGGGTTGCGTTGTGTGCGGGGCTGGAAGAGCTATCCATCAAGAATTGTGCAGATTTGACGGATATGGGGTTGATAGCAATTGGGAGAGGGTGCTGTAAACTGACCAAGTTCGAAGTTGAAGGGTGCAAGAGGATAACCGAGAAGGGGATGAGGACCATGGCTAGTTTGCTTCAGAAGACATTGGTTCAAGTCAAGATTTCTTGCTGCAAGAATTTAGATGTGGCTGCATCTTTGAGATCTTTGGAGCCCATTTGTGATCGGATCCAGAAGCTACATATTGATTGTGTGTGGAATGGATTGGAGGAAACTGAGAATTCTAATCATCTTCTCCATGGTTTTGACCACAATGAAATGGATGAATCTGGTTCTTCTAGCTTATCCGTAAATGAGTATGAGGATATGTGCAGAAAGAAAAGGAAATACTCCTTGGATGAAGATTCTTCCAATCTACAATGCAATGGCAATGGATTTTGGTGCAAGACATGGGACAAGTTGCAGTACCTCTCTCTTTGGATTGAAGTCGGCCAGGTTTTAACTCCATTGCCAATGGCAGGTCTTGAGGATTGTCCTAATCTGGAGGAGATTTCCATAAAGGTAGAAGGAGACTGCAGGGGGCGGCACAAGCCACAGCAACCTGAGTTTGGGCTGAACTGTCTTGCACGCTACCCACGACTTTCAAAGATGCTATTGGATTGTGGCGAAACACTAGGTTATGCTCTTACAGCACCTTCAGGCCAAATGGATCTCAGCCTGTGGGAGAGGTTTTTTCTCAATGGCATTGGGAATTTGAGCCTCAACGAACTTGATTATTGGCCTCCGCAGGATAGGGATGTCAACCAGAGGAGTCTCTCGCTCCCTGCAGCTGCACTGCTGCCGGAATGTCAAACGTTAAGAAAGCTGTTTATCCATGGCACAGCACATGAACATTTCATGATGTTCCTTCTTCGGAATCCTAACCTGAGGGATGTGCAGCTAAGAGAAGACTACTATCCAGCACCTGAGAATGACATGAGTACAGAGATGAGAGTGGATTCCTGTAGTCGCTTTGAAGATAGGCTTAACAGTCGACATATCCTCGATTGACACAAGTAAACAAGATAAATTGTAAAATGCTTGTCTATTAAAACCTGAATAACTATCTGTCAGAGGCAAAATCTGAGCTTCTGATATTTTGTTCATGTTTATGCTAATTATAATTGTACCATTTCATATTTGATAACTTAAAAAGATACCGAGGTAAGGACCGGAAATGAACACTCGACTGAATGCAAAAATGGAAAAAGATAGAAGTTTCGTTGAATTGGTTGGTAGCTAAAAAGGAGCTATGTTTTTACATTGATTATAAGAAAAATTTAGCCTACAAAGTTGGGAAGCCGACACACATTGTAACACCTCTACCATGTTGTCTATACACAAGAAAGAGATTCCAATCAGCAGAGTGAATATTCGCAATCAAGCAAGCGGGAAAGTATCTCCTCGCAACCGGGTCGTTCATGTGGTTCCGCCCAACAATCTGCAGTCAAAAAAGTAATAAGATATTTTAGATATTAATATTTGCAATCTTGAGATCTTTTGATAAATGTACGATATTTTGTTAGTGAAACAGACCTGATATTAGTCTGCCCAGTGGACCTTCAGGAATCTCCAACCGGGATCTTTCGTTCGCAACAGCATAAACAACCTGAACAGTAGGGACCAATATGCTTTAATGTTGTGTAAAATAAAAAAAAA